AAATGACAGAATTAAATTACGTTCCAAGAAGAAAATCAAATACCATATTAATTAACTTATTTTTTTCCACTGAGTTTATTGGTAATTTTAGGTTTACAATAGTTACATTCATCTTTGGGATCTTGTAGCTGTACATGATGTATCTTGGTTCTTATTTTTTCCCCGTTCTAGTTACTTATTTTTTAAAAAATCACAGGGCCACGAGAAGTATTTACCTGGTAAGTGAAAATTTAAGCCAAAAAGATTCAGCTTAAACATGTTTATTCCTGCTCTGAAAGACAGCAAAAAAAACTCTGTAGTTTTAGTGGACTTTTAAGGTTCCCCAAATGTATGTTGAAAGTCTACACATATGCAACACATAAAAACTCTGAAAACTCTGGGGAAAATGTGACAGTGGCCTTTGAAAAAGTCCCAACTGTCTAATTTAAAATAATTCTCTATTGCTTGTGTAACTTGTTCATCCAGCATACACCCACATCAACATAACTGTTCTGGTATCAAGTTTCATTTTTAATCTTTTATTTTTAAAAACTATAGAGTCTTTGTACGCAACTACAGGATAACAGAAAATAGTTTTCAATTATTTAAAGACCCTTGGCTCTAGAAGTTGAAATAGCTTCTAGGCCTAAATTATATTGTCCTGACCTCTCCTTGCGGGATGATCCCTGGGACTCAGAACCCAGCCTGGTGATTTTTCGAACCTCAACATTCTGGAAGGTGTTGATTTTTTGTTGTTGTTGTTACCGGGGATCAAACTTGGGACTTGCACTTTCGAGGCAGGCGCCAGCACCATCGAGCTACATCCTTGGCCTCTTTTTGTGTGTGTGTGGAAGGTGGTAATTTAACCACAAGAGGCAGGATCAAGTCCAGCACCTCAGTCTTCTTAACAATCCCTGGGCTTGGTTATTTCATGACCAGGTGCGGTTATCTCGAAGGGCTGAGGTATTTGCTAGTACAATTCAGGTGCCCTGGGGTCTTCTTAACTCTTTCAGGACCTGATGCTACGTAGGAGCTGCAGGGCCTGGGTCTAACCACAGTGCATCACTGGTCTCAGGGCTCCCTAAGTGTCAGTGAGCCCTGAGGACTCCTTTCCTACCAGAGAGTCCCAGGAATTTGGTTTCAAATGTTATTTAGGCTTTTTAAAGATTTGCACGGGTGACTTCTATAGTTTCAGAAGGTGAAACTTAAAGATTTAAAACAGCACTGTTAAAAGGACAGAAATACAGCCAGAAACAAAAGTTAAAAAAATATACAGAGCAAAATCAAAGACAGATATAGGAAGTAAGAAGACCTTTTTCAAATGGAAGGGGGAAGAAGAGGTAAAGGGAAGGGAAAGGGAGGGGAGGGAAAGGGAATGAAAAGAAAGCACTGAAGGAAAAAATGGAAATGGAGTTTTTTCAAACAGGAAGGAGACCAAGAGTTGGAAGGAGTGGAGAGGGATGGGAGGGGAAGGAGAACACAAAAGAATGAAGATATTAACACATCTTCTAGTGGTACATGGACCAGCTCCCCGTGATAAATGTAATCAGTATGTACTGCACACACGGACTAACAGAAGTTTTTAAAACGTATGCTGGCTGATGCAGTCACATCCACACTAAAAACTGTAAATGTTCAAACAGGACAGTACAGTCTCCATGTAGGGAGTGCAGTAGAATCAAAGAGGTTGCTTCATCACAAATAAAACAACTCCAAAACTTCTTAGAAGAATCACAACCTAAATGTGTTGACCTCAAAAAAAAAAGAATGTACACACACACACACACACACACACACACACACCACCTATAAAACAAAACAGATGCCTTTATTTCCTTTGAAAGGAAAATTTTATACCGATCGTATGATACAGCAGTTTCTTTTTCTTACAGTAGTGGAAACTACGAGGATGGATTTAATTTTTAAATCTCAAATTTTCAATAGATGCAGAAAAAGCATTTGACAAAATCCAACATCCATTTATGATAAAAACCCTACAAAAAATCGGAATAGACACTCTCTACCTCAAACTGATAGAAGCCATCTATGAAAAACAGCCAATATCATACTAAATGGTCAAAAATTGAAATCCTTCACACTAAAATCAGGAACAAGACAAGGATGTCCACTATCACCACTCCTGTT